GGTGTACTGTAGCTGCGAAACGGCACGGACTATTGCAACGCGGACGCCCGCCATTCCAGTTTTCGCCTAAAGAGGGTCGAAACCAGGGCCCGGCAGGAGGTGGTATTTCAGAATTTTGAAAACGATATCCCCTTTGAAGCAAAAATTTCTTACGACTTTCCCTTTAACCCTATTTTTGACTCCCGTAAGTCCCTGACAAACAGATATACACAAATAATAAGATGGGCGGCCTCAGCGCTTATTATAGTAGTACTACCTGGCTTTCTTGGTCCAGCCCGGGTCATCAAGGTTTCAGCTCAATGGGTTCATCCACAAAGGAATCTATAAAAAAACATAGGGTCAAGATTTGCACAAACTTTGACGTTTATATATCTAAGATACTACTCGTTTATTAGTCAGCTGCGAAACTTTACAATTTACAAAAACCGATTGCGATTGTAGCGCGCTTTCCGAGCCCGATCATAACGCTGGGAACCCTATTTGGGGCTGTATCGAAGCTGTGCCTTGGTGGTTTTGGAAGCGGATTTGAACATATAGTAATACTCTCGACCTAGTCCACATTTATGTAAAGAAATCCGGGATATTATGTGAAGGAGAGAGATGCAGAGATGTAGCTTTCGCCCAGAGATGTAGCTCACGGTTATCGTTACCTTTATGGCGACTACCAAGTCATGACAAACCCAAAAACCTATTCAAATTTGCGTTTGTCTTCCTGCGAAAAGTTTCATCCACTCGAAATCACCGATCTCACGTGAAAAGATTTTCTAAATGAGTGGTTGTTTACATTTTATTCGTGGTAGTCGGCATAGTGCGGTGAGTTCCACTGCCACGATTTTACGAGAATGAATAAGGCACATAGATAGTAGAACCTCTGCGAAGCAGAGGTGACGCACTGGTATTCACATAAGTTTCTCATAATTCTTCATACTTTTTTTGTGCTCATGGTCCTCCAACTATACAGCAAATTTGGTGCCATATCGTTACTTGTGTATTGAAAACGAGCCTATTTTGTTATTTTCCTCTTACAAGAATTGCGATTGGAATTCCCGCCTGCGGGCAGGCTAGCGATCGGAGCACAGAATCTTCACATTGCTAGAATCTAAGTTCATAGGACAGTAGCATCAACAAGGAATGATGAATAAAGAATGATATGTGCATTGTTCATCGGTAAACAAAGGGGAAGTCGTATTTTGGGGTCCGGGGCGGAGCCCCGGACCCTAAAATACGACTTCCCCTTTGCTTTTTCGGGCCAAAAACGATATCCAGCTTGTGAAAGCGCCACCCCGCCGGGCCCTGGTCGAAACCAGGGTCATGCGTGGAGTGTGGCACGCCACACCTGGGGAGTCGTAGAGGGGTCAGGAAGAGGAGGAGGTCATCATCAAGGTGTTAGTGATGTTATGTTAGCGAGATGATGTCAGTCAACAATATCTGATAGGCCCATTGTGCAAGATACTAGCACTGGTGTCTTGGCCTACCGTCGTAAACGTACACTAAGCATAATAAAAGAATCCTAAGGACATAAGAGCATCATCTTCGTAATAAGCATGTCAAATAACCCCTATGGGCCAAGTTTCAGCGATTGAGGTTTCCAAATACATATTGGGAAACTCAAGTGAGGTAGTCATTTACGATTATGTTAACATGTTTCGGACCGCGAAATCGCGCGCGGCGAAAAAGAGGGTACTTTCAGCCGTTAGTCAACAAAGGGAACTTATTTCCCAGGCTGTGTGCCTCATCTGTAATCAGCATGTCAGGTAAGATCGATACCCAAAGTTCTGAATGAACTCGAAGTGTTTGAATTTTGTCGCTTGAGAAGTACTTCTGTGCTTTCTTGAAAGATAGAAACAAAATCACAGTTTCTAATTGTATTTAAAAATTTCTACGTTGTACACGATACACATGGTTATTGAAATTACGGTTTCTCTCATTGAATTTGAAGCAAAGAAAAGCGACGTCGCACGCGTCGTTCGCGTTGCGGCACTTCGTTGCAAATGTTGTTCGATTTGTCCTCATATCTCCTCAACAAATATCGGCGGCACAGCTCTACGAGTTATTTGAAAGGTAGGGGCTTAGGCTTTTGACATGATAACCTTGGACAAAAAGAGAACCTCCTGTAAACTTTAAAAAACCCTTCAAAGCCGCAGCACTGGTCCGAAGCGTGTTAACTTTGTTTCAACGGTGAGTAAACTAGTTTTTTTGCACTCATTACAAAATACAACTATTTCTTTGCTCACATTAGGAATCCCGCGTCGACTAATCTCCGAACTCTGGAAATATGATTAAGCCAAAATCGTTTGTTCCATACTTCGTCTTCAATTTCTCAGACTAGAGAAGATCATTCAGGCTCAAATCACTTTCGTGAAAAGTCACGCGGACCAAGCTATAGATTACCAGTGCGTCACCTCTGCTTTGCGGAGGCTCGCACTGGTATAGAACATCTATCTATGTGCCTTACTCATTCTCGTAAAATCGTGGCACTGGAACTCACCGCGCTATGCCGACTACCACGAACAAAATTGAACAACCACTCATTTAGAAAGTTTTTTTCACGTGAGATCGGTGATTTCGCTTGGATGAAACTTTTCGCAGGAAGACAAACGCAAATTTGAATAGGTTTTTGGATTTGTCATGGTTTGGTAGTCGCCATAGCGGTAATAGTAACCGTGAGCTACATCTCTGTGCGAAAATCTTCTCAAACGCTTAGCTAGAACCTTGGCAAATTGACCATTTACACAACTAATTCTTTCTGGCGCCGTTTTCGTTATGTAGTAAACTTTCGACCAATTTTCGGGCTAAAATCCATCGCTTGCACATTTGCTTACCAAACTCATCCACGACTCTGCAAAAAGTGGTGATACGGACCGAATTTTGCGGTACAGAAGCCAGGTGGACCCGTTTGGCGCGCAATTTCTGAGGGATCCACTCAACGAATCTACTCGTGCTTTTGCATGTTGGACTTTCATGAAGGTAGCATGAGCTATACAAAATTTGGGCTTAGAACACTGGCGGGAACACGCTCCACGAATTTCGTTACAGACACACTCACTCACACACACACACACACACACACACACACACACACACACACACACACACACACACACACACACACACACACACACACACACACACCACACACACACCACACACACACACACACACACACCACACACACACACACACACACACACACACACCACACACACACACCACACACACACACACCACACACACACACACACACACACACACACACACACACCCAAAGTCACGTAAACATCCTTAGCCCGTTATTATAAGTTATGATATTTGTTCTTGCCGCCTTCGTTCGCGATTCACGTAGTAGTGCAGACTTAGCATATTACCGTAATCCAGTATTTTAGCAGTGTTTTCCATTTGAACGACTATACCTTTCCTTTGGAGAAACAATTTTAAACGAAATTCCTGCTATGTGGAGAAAAAGGTTCAGCAGTAGCAACCATATAAAAAAGACAGAGATTTGAATGCTTTGAAGGTAAGTTAATGAGGTGTGGCACAACCCCTGAAAAGGTGTAGCGGCCACAGCTTTTCAGGGTTTGTGCCACACCCATTAACTCATTAAGTCACCTCTGAAAAGAATATTAGCGAACAAAATATATATAGTTTGATAGTCTGAGTCTTGTGGTTTTCATGGGAGTAATTTGAGTCTGATTCATTTTTTCGCTCTGAGTAAAAGCTGGTGAAAGTGCAGCCATTGAAAGCGAAAAATGGGACAAACGAGATTTCGGCCTGCTTCTAATTCCTTTGATGGTAATTTGAAGCAGGATTTATGGTATGGGTTAATAGAAAGTGTTTTGTATTGAATACAAAAGCTTAGCTAATTCACTTCTGAAATATAGTTAATCATGTTTGAAATTGACCATTTCACTTGGGTGGTCCAATATTGGGAACCCTCAGAATTTGCCAAAACTTGGCGAATGGAGGTCATTTGACATGATAATTACGGATGTATGCTTAATTATGCATAGTAGAGCCTTTATGTCATGCCTACGGATGGCAAACGATAATGCTGGAGGGAGGGTGGGGGTAGTGAGACAAAAATAGGGGGGAGGTCGCATCCGGCGCTTGTGTGCCACATCTCTTGCTCGACCCTGGTCGAAACTTATCGTACCGCCCATATGCGTTGCAGGTGAAATCTTTTTGAAATTCTATATTGACCCTATGATGATATCTAGGAATTTGAAAAGCGCTAAGAGCTTACCGACAACATTTTCAATCTAGTGAAGAATATGAAAAAGAACTTATGAGCGACATATTGACAACCACGGGAGTAGGAGTACAGTATGCCTATTTCCAGTTGTTTCTCCATCTTGGTATATACCCCCTCAATGCATGTGAGAGTTGTATAATACGTAAGGTTTATTGTTATGGTTACCAAACCGTCTCTCGATTGAAAGGCCAATACCGTTACGTGAAATTGCGTAATACTTCTCATGATGGCCAGTGCAAACCCCTGGGAAGCAGAGGTGAAGCAGTGGACAGATAAGGGAGGACGGTGTAGTTGCAAAGACTGCTCAGTTCTAGACTTTGGCCCATAGAACCATTTTTAACCATCCATACATCAATATCGCCCTTTCCAATCAGAACAGTAGTAATTACTGCATTAGATGAATTCATAGGCCTCGGCACCTCGCGCGATTTCAGTCGCGAGCAGTTTGGAAATAGCCATTTGTCTATAACTCACAGTGCAAATTCTAAATGTTGGGAGAATAGGGTATTTTAGAAGTCTAGAGAGATGTACAAACTATGCATTTGCGGTCTGAGTGTTGGATTTGAAGACATCTGGCAAACTGCCGGATCGCGTGGCGACTGAAATCGCGTGAAGTATGACCAAGAACTTGGGGGCATAGTTTGTCAATCGTGAGAAACAGGCAAAAAAAATTTGACGAACATAGCCGCAATAACATTTTGCAAGAACGAGAAGCCACAGGTAGAAAGGGTGAAGAGCAAAAACATTATAATTAACAACTGGGAAAGACGCGCCCAATTTCAGCGGCACGTACGTCGAGCGAGTTAGGTCCACTAAGCTATAGATGTAGATAAGGTGTGAGCCCAGCTCAAAAAAAGAAAACGAACCACACAAATAACACTCGGCTCCAAGGCATCAGACGCAGAATGACAGCTGTGCACAACATTACTCCAAATTCCATCATTTTCTGCAAAAAAATTTTTTTTGGAACCTGTATTTTCAAATGGTAACGTGAACTTACATAGGCGCACACTTGTATTGGAGGTGACGACCTCTCAGAAATTGAGCTGCGAGCTAGACTTCAAAAATTATACGGCACAAATGACGACTACCAGGTACATGCGGAGATGGAGACGTGGCAGTCTACGTGTGTCGTTTTTGACGCAATGTTTCAACGTGGAGCAAGTCTATCAATATGACCAAATGTTCGCAATGCTCCAATCTCCTACGCATTCTGGTAGTCGATGTTTTATTCGGGCAGTTTGACTAACTTGATCTTGGATAAATCGGAACTGTTTTTGTAAGGACCACTCCAGAAATGAGAGGCACCGACATAGCGAATGTTTTGTTGACGCGAGAAATTGACTTGTGAGGTCTTGTAATGTTTTCGGCTAGCAGCCACATACTTTCAAGTCACATGTTAAGTTTTTAGTTTGCTATAGTGACTTCCGCAAAAAATTTAATGTCGAATTCTTTTGTCGTTTCTTCTTCATAGTCGAAATTCATACGGAACATCATTTACTCTGACTGGGAAACTCGAGGCATCTTGCACGCATTGTCTAAACAATTTTAGACTTGTTTGACCTAGTAAAGTAAAAGATGGTATATCTATAAATAGACTACAAGTCTGAACTCGATCACACTTGTTTATTGTCTAGGCTTCGGCTACTACTGGCGCTACCAGCGTTACCGACCAGTACTACCACGTCACCGGTGCTGCCAGTGTTATTAATGTTACCAGTGCCAGTGCCACCGTTACTAATGTTATTAATGCTACTAATGTTAGGCAGGCGCTATACTCCTCGAGGAGTATAGCATGGCGATGATCGATATGCATCAAGTACCGGGGATTTTTGCCGATATTGGCAATCGCCAGTCGCCAGTGTTGGCGACTACGCATTAAATGTGTATCAATTGGACGTGTGATAACTTGTTAGCGATCGACACGCTTAGAAGACACAGTCATCAGTTCGCCATGCTATACGCCTCGAGAAGTATAGCGCCTGCCTTACTAGTATTCCGCTTTTACTGCTTTTGAATAATGAAGTAATGACCACTACAATCTCATCTCTTCAAACGAAATCTTGCTGATGGTTGGATGTTGCAGCTCCCCGCTAGCTGTACAGATCAGGTTCGTTTTCGGGCTGCGATATCAGAATGCCGTGGCCAAAAGTAGGCCTTGTACACCATATGCAGCGCATCTTGTGTGCAGTAGTCAATACATGCTAGATCAGACAGTCTTGCATGCAGATGGCTGCATGGCCAATAAATGGGCATCGATAAGCAGCAAAACAGCGTCCATGCAAAGTTTTGGAGATTGTAGGTGTCCCCCTCAGAAGTAGGGATGCTTCCAAACTTTCTGGGCGAAGTTCCAATTCATCGCGTACCTGCATGTAAGAGATACGACTGAGGACGCAGTATAACCATGGAGTACGTGGCTACTTCTGATATGTGTAATTTTGTGTAATATGTGTAGATAAAACCTCGTCATAAGCTACAACTCTTGTGGGCCCTTGGCCCTCCAAGTGAAGAAAGACATTTATGGGACACATTCGTGTCACAAGGTACCATGACGTTAACTTACGCAACCAAGCTTGGAATGATATTTCGTAGAACCTCTTAGGAAAAATCTTGCTTGTGAAAGTTGATCGAAGTAAAGGACAAGAACTCAAAATGCCTCATCACTTGAAGACACCGATTCAGAGTGCCTGTACATGAAGATTCAAACGATATCAAAACATGCGCACAGGATCCCTTGCAATCAAACCAGATCTAATTTTCGAATGTTTATTACCGCAAAGGTCTGGTCCATATTTTTGTATTCCTAGAAATGAAAGATGAGGCGTAAAATTTGTTTTAGGTGCCAAACTCTATGGTGTATGAGCCAGATCTTTCTGACGGAAAACAAATCACCATGACAACTCTTTCTACCAAAGTGAGTACGCAGAATTCGATGACACTATGCAGCAGAGTCTTTTGGCAGGGTGGGGGAACGAAAGCCGCCAGGTCCAGCCGCCTCCGCGGACTGCTGGTCCTGGAACGACATGCAACAACGCTGCGAAAGGACCAGCTGGCCGCGAAAGGCGACTGGACCTGGCGGCTTTCGTTCCCCCACCCCTTTTGGCAGTCATCTACAATCCATTTCCTTCAAAATTTAGCTCAAATTCTTTATATACCTAAAGTTTTATGTTTTTGTGCTTTCTAACTAACTTAGACCAAATCTTCCGTTTTATTGTTCTTGATTCGGACGAAATAAAATCTTATCTATTATTTATGTACGCTGGAGAATAATAAAAGTATTCTCCAGTATTTATGATCCTCTGCCGAAATGATTGGAGGCTTTGAGTGAGTCCCATTTTTTGAAGTTATGCAAGCACTTTGATCACCAGAAAGACCCAGTAAATGCATATACGAACACAACAATATGTGTACTACAGTTCATACCTACTCAGTACATGATCAGCTTTGTCCACCAAGGAAACCATGCTAGAAGCTTTTCAATAAACTAATTCTACCAGCTCAATAATTATAAAAGTGTCCTAGAAATGCGCACACTGTATGACCGATGACAGCTCGTTTGCTTCGATGTGTTTCGACAATCTTTGGTTACCACACAAAGCTCACTTCAACCCAGACTTTTAGTATGGAGCAAATCTCCGATTTCTTTTTGTTACTGTAGGATTATGGTTTGAGATTCTAGCATACAGCGCCATTTTAAATAAGGCTGTTTGGTGATGGAATTTGATCATGAAATGATGAAATCTGAGGAAAAAAAACTAAGTTGTGCAGCAGGGTTTCAAGCAAGCTACAGTCTGCCCCACTCCTAACCAGACCAGGAATGATATCCACGAAAGTCCATTTAAAAATGGGCTTTTCGCGAATGAAATGCGAATAAAATGGGCTTAGTCCCTGCGGTGCGATAAGATATCGCATTCGCGGCATTCCATTTCATTCAGTGCTAAAGCTCTTGCTTAGTAACCACTTCCGGACAAGCTTACTTGTCTATGTCGATCTACATGTTTCAAAATGTTCGTGCTAAGTTCCTTCCCACGTCAACGCTTCTCCAACCCCTCTAATCGTTTCACCTCACTTTTATTCAACGCCAATCAAAGCCCGTCCTGTATGTTCAACATCTCTAGCTCCTATATGATCATTGCTGTTTTGCCTCACTTCTCTTTATTTTCTCAGTCGTTTCTCTCTGCCTTGCCTTTTACAACATTCCTCCGGCAAAATTGATGCTTTGGCCTCTAACACTCTACCAATCATAAAATCATCAAAAAGACGTCACAAGCAGAATATACCCAACCTCATGCGCTCTACAAATCATTTCCTATTTTGTTTCTTGGTCTTTTTCTATGCCTAGAAAACAAATGTTCAAACTTGATGAATTTTGTTTCAAAGACTACAAAGTTTCTCCTCCCTTCACTCGAAGCAAAGCATTGTTTTTGCTCATCTCCTACTAGAGTTTCTGCTTCATATCCCTATTGGAACAGTGTGGTTAGAAACGCCGCTTAGACTCCGTTTTCTTTGATTCCTTGGATTTTAACTCCATCGTAAGAAAAGAACAAAAGATTCTTACACCATGCTTATAATCCCATAACTTTGTGCTAACGAATCACGTGGAAACGCTCGAAAGCATCTTGAAACATAGGCACATATTGAATTAGACACGACCTCTCAAAAAGCTGGGTTGCATAAGCCATTTTGAAGTTGTGTCCGACCCCACTAAGGTACATCATGAATTTGTTAGTCCTTAATCTTCCCTCGTGTAACAAAAATATCGTAAACCTTCTTCTCATCTCATTAGGAATTTGATCCAAATAGGTCTACTATCTTAAAGATACGCAGCCTGACAATACAGTGGAAACTTGATACAAATTTCACTACAGTCGTCCGATGGCTACGCACTTACACACATTTCTCATGCAAGGCGCTAAAATTCTGATTGCTATTACTTAGGTAGGTGCCAGAGTAAGCGAATATTTTGTTCAGCTTCGTTCAGTTGCAAAAGGCGTGCAGAATTAACGCTAGTTCTGCGCGGAACCTGCAGCTGAAGCAAGCCTAGACATTAAGCAGCAGACATAATTCTGCGCGCCTTTTGCAGCTGAACGAAGCTGAACAAAATATTCGCTTACTCTGGTACCTACCTTACTTTTGATTTCACTCTTGCACTTTTGTGTGCATATCTCAATTCTCTCTCAATTTTCAATGTCCGTTATCGTGCTCACATGTTGTTTCGGTAACGGCCGGGGATTACATCACGCGATTTCATCGCTTAGCGATCATCACAAACAGACAACTGTTACGGTACATTGCATGTTATTTATCTTGAATTTCGTTTGTAACAGTTTTGCAGCCCACTAATCGCGAATAACTATCCAACCGAAATGCAAGGTGATCGGTTTTGAACTTGTAACTGTCGTGTTGTCGGGAAAATCGCGTGATGTATGTCCGGCCTTATGCTCACCTAGATTATGAGGTCATACTCAGTACCATCATATCCGAGTCACTCAACCATCGTATTTCAGGAAGATCCTTCGACAGACGTCATTTCCTCTCATTCTTGAAGGGACCTTTGTTGCTTGAGGTCAGCGGAAACCCTTGTCATACCTGTTGAGGATTAACTTCGTTACCCAGGTAGGCCCTTTTTTGGTGATGATGGGTGATATTGTAATCTTTCTCCTTTGTTTACAGTCTGGATCATCTCACGTTGCCCCTTGTGACTGTATTTTACCCAGATATCTCGTCAGCGGATTCATTTTGAACGTCAAGGAGGTCTAGGTGGGAGTGTAAATTTGTTCTTTACTGGCTCTAATTTTCGCCATTCGAATACTGAACGGTAAAATAGTTGGTGATACAGCTTATAGAGCTGAACCATTCCTTATAAAAATAATTACAAGAGAGCCACTAAGTAGCGCACGTGAGTCGACCGTACGATTTATACGTGACCAAAATAACATTTAGAGAGGTCACACAACCGCGCGATATGTAAATTTCGCGCGCATGTCGAACAGGCATTTGGCCAATTAAAGCGCCAATTCCACGCACTTCAATCAGGTCTTAGGTGAAGATGTTTTTTCTAATGACTAGTGTCATACGACTAGTGTTAAGATACGGACCAAAAAGGTCTTCTCGGCTCATAGCTACCGCAATTTGTCTGAGGAATGCGGCGATCTTTTTAAGAGAACCGCCTCCGTACGAAGATGAGGGGATAGTTTGGGATAACGAGGCCGGAGAAAATGCGGAAGACCTCAGAAGTGGTAATGAAGTCATCAACAGCATCGTAGAAAATTACTTCACATAAGATAAAGTTGTTTCTTTTAGTCCTATTTTTATATCGATCACTTTCTTAATCTTCATTGTGGCTTACGCAATAATTTTTGAGCGCGCACTTTGGAGCGCAAGTAATTTGAATGGTGGTCTGATCAATAGTCTTAAGAGGACAGATAACAACTTTTATTGAGCTATACGTCTGCTAAGGGTCAGAGCATGTGAACCCGTCATGTCTCCTATTTTGTTGACTCAAGTGGCAGTCATTATGCTGATGCTTTGCAGTATGTTGTATCTATACACGCTATGTATTATTTGCATGCTTTCACTCGATGCACCGTCCTGGCATGATTATGCATTTATTTGTATAAGCGTGTACAATTATCAGCAATCAAATTTTTTGATAAATTTCTGCCAATCAGTTTATGAAAGAAGTTCTGCTTGGAAATTATAAAACTTGCCAAATGTGTGTGATATCAGCGTGGTAGAATTACGTTCAATGCGTAATACTACCCGTGGTCCTGCTAGCAAATTCTCAACTAGATTTGCAGATAAAAATAGCCAAAAGTCACAATGTCTCAGGAAAGTATGGAGTGTGAAGTATGTAATGATGGTAAAACGAAAGAGTTCTCAAGTAGGTTTGGAGATAAAGCACTCATACAAACATGTTTACAGAATGTTATTGTAGATGATGAGTTGGAATTGCTTGCGGAGTTATACACCCAGAATAGGGATCTCTATCACTCAAAACTTATTGGGGCATCAAAAAATGGGCCTTCACAGCAATCTACAGGACTATCTTCTTATTATATACACGTCGTATAGGAACGTCTGGCGCTTCAATGGGCAGAACAAGTAACGAAGCTAGGATATTCAGCGCGAACATCTACACAAATAAGGCAGAGAATTATAGATATGCGAAGAAGGGCAGAGAAACAGCTAAAAAAGGAAGTACGTTCTGAGCAGTGGCGTTCCGAGGAATTCCTTTTGAGGAAATGGGGGGAGAAAGCAGAAAGTTTTTTGAATGAAATGGCGAAAAATTTCGTAAATTACTCATAAATCTTTTGAGTTGTTTCAACTTTTGATAGAACCTATGACCTTAAAGTGGTCTAAAAAGGAGGCGTGGGAGCAGTCACACTCTAATATTTTTCAAAGCCAATACTTTTCTAGAAAAATAAGAAACTCTTTTTGATTATCTACAAAGGAAAACGAGTAGCTTGCTCAATTTTACAATTTATGCAGATAAGTATCAGAAATTTGCATGCATTTTTGCGGGGAAGGAGGGGGCATCACCCCTCGCTGCGCCACTGATTTTGGTTAGGGTTCGCGATCTTAGGAAGTTAAGAGTATAATTTGGAGAGAAGAGAGAAATAAAACTGGGGGCGGATCAGCTCGACTGTTCCGTCCCCCGAGATGGTTGAAATTAATAATGGAACACTGTGTAAATGATGAAGCCATCACTGGCATCAGGGGAGGCTCGGAGGGTATAGATTCAAGTTTGTTATCGCCAGTCAATGTCAAATATATTTGCAGCTTGGAAGGAGGTCGATGTAAATGAAAAATTTTCTGCCGCAAATCGAAGAATGAAAGCGCTGCTAAAATGAAGAAAATCGAAATTGAAGACTTGAAGATCCAGCTATTGCAAAATGAATTAGAATTAAGCAAACTACGCCTGGAAACGGAAAAAATCAACCAAGAAATAGCTTTGCTGAAAAAAATTATTATCTGCGGAAAATGTCATCTACTAGCAATAACGAAAATTGAACTAATGTTGTCTATAATAACTTTTGTGAGTGTATATGAAGTGTTGATAAAGAAAAAAGACAAACAGTGTTGCTGAACATGAATCTACAAGGATATGCTGTTGCTTTTTCGATCACGTGGGTTAAGAACTGTTTTTTACAACATAATACGAGAACTCATTTTTATTATTCGAGGAGTTTCTATGGGCTGTTTTCGAGCAGATAAGCTAGAAATTATACATTCGTTATAACCAAAGCTTATTCCAAAATTTCCATGTGTTCTGTGCACCTCTAGAAAAAGTTCATTTTCAAGCTCTTTCAGAAAAGATTTAACTTTCTCCTTTGATATATTACCCTAAAATGGGCTAAGGAAGTCAATCTCAAAAAATCACAATCAGAAATGGGCAAAAAGGTCAAAAATGGACTTAGTCTCAGCACGTCTGGCTGCTGGGAGTAAAATGGGCTTATCAGAAAGGTGAGAGAGAATGAACATGAAGATGAACTCCATTTTGCCCCATTTTAAAATGGACTTTTGACGTCATCATCCGCAAGCGATAGCTGAAGTAAGCATGCATCATTCCCATTTCACCGCTTTGCCTCGCGGTTGCGATGGGATGAAAAATTTTGGATATCGCAAGCGAGAGCCGATTTCGACCACTTTCTAAGACCCCGGGCAGACTTCACGCGATTTGGTCGTCGCGACTGATTCGCGACGAGACAACTGTTACAACATCATTCCATGCCAATCAACTTGCATTCGGTTGTGATACGTTTCCAGCCCGAAATTTTTGAATGTGAAATGAAAATGAATGGAAATCTTGGCGCTTAGATTGCGACGATTGATTCGCGTGAAGTCTGTCCGGGGCCTAACGCGAACGAATAAAATGGACTAAGTAAGTCCATTCTCCTCCATTATGGACTTTCGTGGATATGAGTCCAGAATTGGCATGGGGGAAATCCGTGTCGCGAGGGTATTGCGTCACTTATAGGACTGGCTAGTCTGTTCTCCTCTCAATCTCTTCGCTCTTTGCGACAACGCGCGTATTCAACGCAAACCCTAGCGCTGCCGCGCGCAAACTCAACCGCCGATTCGGCCTGATCCCGACCGGCAGACTGTATATTGATATCAACTTTTTAAGCTTTATGAGGTTTTCAAATGGTGTAATCACATTCTTGAAAAGCATCGAAAAAGCAGTTGTTTTCCTGAAATGACTTATGAGGGAAGCATGACCGCGGTGTGCAAAATTTATATTTGAAAGCAGCGGCTCTGATTGGTTTACTATGAGAGTTTTTGGCTAGTCTGACTTTCTTTTGAGGCAAAATGCTACTTTTAATGACCTAGAGCTTTAAAACTCCTACCGTGGTCCTACAGTAACGAAGAAAGATTGGAGTTTCGCCTAATACTGTAAACTTAACCTGAAGCCAGCTCTGCGGAATGGTATCTAAAGATATCGAAAGAGCTGAAGCAAAGGAGTTATTAAAGAATGAAAAAACACACCTTTTTAGGATCTTCTGTATAATAATTGGACTAGCCTTTTTAGGAGCGCTAAATGATAGAAAGAATGAGAAAATTTTGATAAAAGTTTTGCACACATTAACTTTAGAGTGGGGGTATGTTAGATGCTATTTCATCTTACCCAGCAGTGCTCTTATGAGCGGAACAAAATGTTAGAAAGAGTATGGGATTTTAACCATACTTCGCAAACCTAAGGGCCGAGCCAGAGTGCGTGGCATACCGGCGTACATGACTTACGCAGCGTACGCTCGGTATGTTTCATCATAGGTGCGTACGCCGCGTAGACCGCGCAGTCTGGCCCAACTCTAAACGATTGTTAATCAGCTATTTCGCCGAAGAAAGGGTTCCTTCATACTCCGCGTACGCCGCGCACGCTGCAGCGCAATGGAAATATGCTCACGGCAGCAAAGCTCTACTTTTTTAATGTGTTTCTATATTTGCTGCACATTCGTGTCCCTCAGTAGTGTTCCTTCACATTATGCATTTCTTCTTCTCTTTTGCCTTGTTAATCCTGGCTATCCTTTATCTATATCAATGATTGATGGAATGACTTAGGTTGTTGTGCTCCCTCTACTTTTGAGTTTCACATTTTGTATCGTAACTGACTGCACATTGCGTCATCTGGTTGTATATTGGTAGTATATGGTTGTATGTTGTATCTGTTTGTATATTTGCGCTGTTAACATCTCCTTACAAACACATCACTGAATGAAAAGGATTTCTCTTCTTTATATTTCCATATTTCTATTGCGCTGCTGCGGCGTACGCGGCGTAGTATGAAGGAACCCAAAGGCTTTGTCGATCAATTGGTTATTTTGTAATCTACGCTCTAGAGGGTCAAAAAGTGGCAGGAAAGGGTAGGCGAGCAAGCTTACTACACATAAAATATTTATTACGTCCCTCATTGACCACTTCCGTCGATATTTTTTGGTTTCTTGTGTACTACATTTTTGAGCGCTATCTGATACCCATCTACGCATTAACATTCCTCAACGAATTCATTTACCGGCTAAGTTCATCAACAAAATTAAATATGGTCATTCATATATGTAGTAGGTCACAGTAAACACTCTTATACCCAAGCCGTTTCGTTTATTCATTTCTTCATGACGCCAGTCTCAAAAAGTAACTCCTTCGACTCTTTAGATTCCGCCACCTTGATGCTATCATCACCATTACAGCCACACATCCGCCTCCACACCGCATTAGCAGACGCACATCGCTCAGAAGACCCGAGCTTGGATCGCTGCAAGGCGCACTTCTGAGGTCGAGCGCAGTCAACTTTGAGGTAGCCAGGAGACACCGGTGCCCATAGTAATCAATCGAAATATGTCGCTCTAACCCTTCGATGATCGTCAACAACGCGCACTGCCACTCCGCCATAAATATCCTTTTCGTGCCCGAGCAAAGTAAAGATGCGCAGACAGAATAGTGGCTCGTAAAAGCTCACAGTAAATCAACATGCAAGCATTGATGTCTCTCAGCCTGTGTTTGTAACATCAGTGCACCCGCCATGATCACTATCAACTATCATACTGTTCTTCCGTAATTGCGAATTGCGCAGCGTCAAGTCGGATATCACTAAATTACAGGTAGCTTAGGTAGGTACAAGCCCGTGTGATCCTGTGTTTGCAAGCCTCTCGCTGATCACTTTTTATACAAATAAACAGAAATGCTAAACTCTTTGGTAATAAGGGAAAGGATGACAATGTAAAGCATAAAAGATTGAGACAAAGTACGCCAAAGTTTTTCTGCTGAAGTCCGCTGTAAAGCAAATTACACAGAAAAAAATTGGATTTCGCGAAAAATTACTAGTTTAGTCATTGCAGCTATGAGCTGTTCCATAAGCCATGACCAGACGTCCCCGCTCTTATCGTTGTATTTGGCGTGCGTGAAGCCTAACGATGCGTGGAACTTTGAGTGGAGCTCGACGTGCTCGATCCTGGTCGGGTGACCTTCCTGTGTCTCCACATTGGAT